TTTATTTAGCCTGATCTTTATTTTTTGTCTAGCAAATTTAACACAAACCAGTGTGTGGTCTGAATGAAAAGCTAATGAAAGCTAATTCAATGGCAGGAAAAGGCTGTCCTGGTTATTTACATATATTTCAGAGGTGCACAGGGCTGCCAACTTTGGGCAGCTGGCTGGTGTGACATTTTCAATTGGAGACAAATCTGCACGCGCATTTACATGTATGTAACAGTTTTATTACCTTGTAAATAGTCTGTAGGGTTTGCAAGCTACCCAAATGCCTTTGATGTAACTAATTATAAGTTTATAATAGAATAATATAGATTTGCGTATCCCGGGAACAACGGGTGCAGGTGGGAACCAACCCTGGGCGGGAGCCAACACACCATAGGGTGCAGACACTCACACAGCCACACTCACACAAGTACAGGGCCGATTTAGAGACGCCAATCAGCCTACCCTGCACGCCTTTGGACTGTGGGAGGAAACCGGAGCAGCACTGAAACTCCTCGCTCCAAATGGGCTTCAGTGCAGGTAATATATTAAGGCAGTATTATGGCGGGGCGTCTGTGATGGGGGGGTGAGAGGTGGTATTCATGCTTAATCCAAAGTAGATTATAGTGGGTCTCATTAGGAACAACGACGACCTGCCCTATAGTGTAGTGACAACAGCCTAATCCAGAATGTGGAGACCAAGGAGATGATCATCGACTTCAGGAGAAAACAAGCCCAGTCATTCACCACTCGTCACTGACAACAGTGCTGTGGAGGTGGTCAGCAGCATCAGATTCCTGGGGGTGCAGATAACTGACCATCTGGACTGGTCACCAAGCACAACATCACTGGTTAAACAGGCTCAGCAGCATTTGCACTTCCTGAGTGCAAACGCAGGAACGCAGAGAGCTTCCCTCTCCCATCCTCAACACCTCCTACCGAGGCACCATAGAGAGCGTGCTGACCAGCTGTATCTCCATCTGGTTTGGCAGCTCGAAAGCCTCAGACAGGAAATCGCTGCAGAGAGTGGTGAGGACTGCAGAGAGGATCATCGGGACTTCTCTTCCATCCATCCAGGACATTGCAAACACTGTCTCAGCAGAGCCCGTGACATCATCAGAGACTCCGCCCACCCCCACCACGGACTGTTTGCCCTGCTGCCCTCTGAAAAGAGGCTTTGCAGCATCAGGACCAGGACAGTCAGATTCTGTAGTAGTTTCATTCCTCAAGCCATTAGACTCCTGAACTCTCAATAACTCATGTCCAAACTGGAGTTAGAGAGGTTGCCAGATATGCATTTTATGTTCACTGCAGCCCACACTGTTTGCATCTTGTCATTGTTGACTGTGTGAAAAATGTCCCTGTTGCTACATGTTTTTTTCTCTGCTGGAAAGACTGTATGTGTTCATGTCAGGCTCGTATGTTCACAAGAAATGGCTGGATGAACAGAAAGAAATGTTCAGTGGGGCACAGGGGAACTGCAAAGGCTTAGTGAGACTAGATGGGCCTGCTGCCGTGCTGCGTGTAGAAACCTTACGGAGAGGCTGAGTGCTGTAATAAGGCTGCTAGATGAGATTTTAGATGATGCCGATCGCCAGAGAGCTGCAGAGGCAAGAGGACTGCAGTCTCAGATTGACTTGATTTTGTTGGGCTCTTTGTAGTGTTCAGGAAGGTGCTCGGTCAAGCAAAGTTTCTGCCAGACATGCTCCAGTCACCTAAGGCTGATCTTACCAAAGCAGCCGACCTCATGAAACCCTCAGAGACCTTTAAAGAATATCGCAGAGGACAGCTTTAATGAACTGTGGGGTACAGTGACTGAAACATGCAGTGATCGCCACATTTCTGCCCCTGTCAAACCAAAAAGAACCAAACACACCTCAAGCAGACCACATGATAGTCTTGTCACATCTACACCTGGACAGCAAACATATGTTAACGGCAAAGACGCCTTCAGAAACGGAGCATTTATTCCCACCATGGAGTCCATGATCAGGAAGATGGACAGGTGCTTCTCAAACTCCAGCTGCCACATAATGAGCAGCATACAAGCACTAAGCCCATCAGACAATGACTCTTAAAGGAGGAGCTGGTTTTGTTAGTGGCTGAGGCAGGTGGCTCTGATTTGCAAGGTTTGAAAAGTGAGATACAGCAGATATAAAGACTGGAAAGAAACAGAGCAAATAGTAAAGTGAAGCCATCCAGTCTGACAGAGTTAGTGAGGATCATGGCTCCTATAAGGAGGTCTTCTTTGGACTTTATCCTCTATGTGAGATTGCTGTTGTTTTGCCAGTGAGTACTGCAGGGTGTGAGCGCAGCTTTTCAGCGTTGAAACTTGTAAAAAATCACCAGCTCACAACCGTGGCAGATGAGTCTGTGGAATCTAGCTGATCTCAGCATTGAGAACCAGCCTGCAAAAGCACTTAATTTAGATGTTTGTGTCTTAAGAAAAATGTGGTCAGACATGATCGGGTGGGCAGTGCAGAGCCAGCAGGAGCTGCACTGGTCTGTTGTTCTTGTTGTTGATTATTAAGATAAACTTGGGGCGTCTGCATTAACATAACGTCACAATAAATATTGTAAAAATGTATTTGTGGTTCTTTCGCTGGATACATTTACCTATAGACGCCACATCAAACGCCTCTCCATCGCTGTCCGCTTTATTCTGTTATGGTGGGGCGTCTGTGATGGGGGGTGAGAGGTGGTGTTCAGGCTTAATCCAAAGTAGATCAGACTGGCACATCCCATACATCCATTGCTACACCCACCGGCTTCATCTCGCCGTCATACATCCCATTCAAAGTGAACCTCGTGCCAGAAGGTTCTCTGACTTGTCCGGTTCCCTCTGCTGTATTTCAGGCATCATTTTGTTACAGAGATATAGCTGCTCCTCTCTGAAAAAGCTGCTGGACATATTCTGGACAGTCACTTTGAAGTGACCGAATGTGTAGCTGAGAATAGAGAAGTAATTCTGGATTTTCCCTCAATGGTTTCCCATAGCAACAATGCCTCAGTTGATATGGCAAAGGCGGCTTCAAGGGCTTCTATGCCAACTGAAGCATACAATTTCATTAAATTTCATTTAAATTTCTTACCCATCTTCTATCCATTTTTAAGCCTGCGTGTGCGATCCTTCAGTTGCAGTGCATTGATTTGTGCATCTGAAGCAGTGCAGGTATCTGTTGATGCCCTAAGAAATCTCAGAGAAAATGACGGGGAATCTCTCGTACCGCAATGCCTTCTGATGAGGCCTCACCAAAACGCCTAAGGACTGTGAATCCCCACTTTGCTGATTCAGTAACCTCACACCTTCAGGGCAGGAAGAGGCCTCAGGCATTGAATGTACGACGGCAACAGAGACA